ACGGTACCTATGCCTACCATTTACTTAAGTCTCCAGCAAGAACATTCTTCATGCCATTAAATATTCTCCCCTGACATTTTTTAGGTTACTGCTTAGTTTTCTATTGTATCAATGGCCATAATTTATTCAGTAGTCGTCATATTGCTAGATAGGTTGTTTCCAGTTTTTAGCTTTTATAAGTAGTGTTGCAGTGAACCTCCTTATAGAAAAGACTTTGCACATCCATGAATGTGTGATTATTTCCTTTGAATAAACTCTTAGAATTTGAATGTCTTTGTCAGTGTAGGCAGGGTTTCAAAAATCAGCCAAAGTGACCTTCAGAAAAGTTGCAAAAGCAATTTACATGTCTACCAGCAGTGTATGTACCCTTACTAATACTTAAAAATTTTTAGTTTAGGAATATTTTGGAAATTACAGGAAAGTTGAAAAAAAGTACAGTGACTACCCAGACTCTTCACCTGGATTCACTGTTAACATTCTGCCGTATTTGCTTTTCCTCTCCCTCCTTCTTCCTCCCCCTGTCCCTCTTCCTCTCCTTCCCTCATGTCTCACAGGCACACACACACTTTTTTTGGAGGGGGAGTGGGAAGAACCTTTGAAAGTAAGTTATAGACATTAAGACAGTTCACTCATAGAAACTTCAACATGCATCTCCTAAGAATAAGGACAATGTCCTACATGACCATAATACCATCATCACAACTAAGAAAGTTAACATGAGTAATATCTAATATACAGTCCAATTGGGAATATTCCCAATTGCCCCCCCGAAGATGACTTTTAATTTGGGTCCTGTTTTGTTTTTTGTTTTTGGTCCAAGATCAGTCAAGGTCATACATTGTATTTGGTTATGTCTCTTCAGTGCCTTTTATCTACAACAGGGATCCACAGACTTTTTCTCAAAGGGCCAGTTAGTAAGTATTAGGCTTTGAGTGCCAAATAGTTTCTTTTGCAACAGTTCAGCTTTGCCATTGTGAAATATGAAAGCTGCATAGCTGATACGTGAATGAATGAACATGGCTGTGTTCCAGGAAAATTTTGTCTACAGTAACAGACAGCAAACAAGCAAGGATTTGGTCTGTGGGCCATAGCTTGCCGACCCCTGATCTCAAGCAGTTTTTCCCCCTGCCCTTTTTTATCTTTAATGACACTTTTTGAAGAAACCAGGCAAGTTGTCTCATAGCATGTCTCACACTCTGGATTTGTCTGGTTGGTTCTTCATGATTAGATTCAGGTTAAACATTTTTGTCAAGTTCTACATAGGTCTCTTAACCTGTTCAGGCTGCTATTACAAAATACAGAATGGATGGATGGATGGCTTATAAACAAGGCATTTAATTCTCACAGTTCTGGAGTCGAGGAAGTCCAAGATCAAGGTGCCAACAGATTTGGTGCCTGGTGAGGGCCCACTTCCTGGTCCATAGACGACTGTCTCTTCACTATGTCCTCACGTGGTAGAAGGGAGCTCTCTGGGATCTCTTTTTGTAAGGGCACTAATCCTCTTCATGGAGGCTCTACCCTCATGACCTAATCACCTCTCAAAGGTCTCACCTCCTAATACCATCACCTTGGGGGTTAGGTTTCAGTATATGAATTGGGGGGTGGGGGGGTGGGACACAAACATTCAGTCTGTAGCAACAGGTGTGTACTTGTATTGCATCCCACTGGGAGACTCTTGTCGGGCCCTAAAGTTTGATCCCTTAGTTTACTTGATGCTCACGTGACCTCTCCATTGTAAAGGTACATTTCACTGTGGTAATTAGTAAACAATCTGCAGGGTAGACATTGAAACCATGTGACTATCTTATTGCCTCACAATTTTTCATCCAGGGATCATCTGGTCATCCTTACCTGAATCCATTATTGCAGTAAGCGTTAGAAAAAGGTGATTTTTTCTGTCTGTGCACTTTTATTAGCTGGTACTCTGAAGAAACACTGCTTCCCTCCTTTTTTTTTTTTTAACCCATGTCCCTTTAGTATCACTGTAAATTCCTGATTTTTAGTTTTATTCAATATGTCATAGTCCATCATTTACATTGTTTTTGATACTCAAAGGGTCTTAATTTGGCCAGTGAGGGCCTTCAAGGTGGCCCCCATCTATATCACTTTCTGAGTACTTCCTTGCTGTGGCCAAGCTATTGCAGGCTCATCTTGTACTCTGTCTCAGACTTGGAATTAGCCATTTCCCCAAGGAACCCAGTTCTTTTTTGTGTTTCTGGTTGTCACTGTTAGAAAAAGCAGTCAGTTTGAAGGGCTAAATTGTTATCTATTTTATAGGGCACTTTGTGGTTTATGGAAAGGGCTGAGCATGTTTTCCTTTTTGTGGCCATGTGTATGTATTTCTTTTTGTGGATTGCTTATTCAAGCCTTTGGCCCACATTTATTTTGGCATGTCTATCTTTTTCTTGTTATTATTTGAGTTAGTGCATTAAAGCATTTAGAATACTGCCTGGCACACAGTAGGGTTAGCTGTTGTTACTTGGTATTCATCCTTTTCTGGAAGTATCAAGAGTGACTCTTAAACTCCCTCCCCGGACAAAGGCTGCTCTTCTGCAGTCGCTTGGAGAGCTCTGCCTGCCTCTAGGGGTGCTGCCTGCCACTGCCCAGTTGATGGGTCTGCACTTGATACCTCCCCTGTTTACTCCACTCTGGCTTGAGGTCTTACAAATGGGGGCCGGCAGCCAACCCCACTGTTAAGAGGCCCTGGCCCCGAGGCAGTGTGTAGCCCCTCGGCAGAGGAGCGGGGCCCAGAGCCCGGCAGCTCACTGCTCCTTTCCCGCTCTACAGGAGGTGGACTGGGAGGTGGAGCTGGCTGTGGTCATTGGAAAGAAAGGCAAGCACATCAAGGTGAGGTGGAAAGGGCAGTGCCATCTGTCCCTCGCATTGGGAGGCGGTTGGCATCTACCTGCTCCTGACCCTGCCTTGCCTCTCATCCACCACCTCTGGCCACTAACGTGGGACCAAGGCTTTGGGATCCTTTGTTACAGGGGTTGGTGTCATCATGATTTAACCTCCAATCTGGCCAAACCCCCTGCCCCCCATAGGCCACAGATGCCATGGCCCATGTGGCTGGCTTCACTGTGGCACATGACGTGAGTGCTCGCGACTGGCAAATGAGACGCAATGGAAAGCAGTGGCTGCTGGGAAAAACCTTTGACACCTTCTGCCCCCTGGGCCCTGCCTTGGTGACCAAGGACAGTGTAGCAGGTAGGTCTCTGACAGCCCACTGGGTGACTCCTGTTGCTCTTAGATACATCAGTGAAGAGAAAGCAGCTTTCCGGGAAATGGGAGTGAGGGGTATGGCTCCACGTGGGCCCCCTATCCCCAGCAGCCCTTTCGTTGATTGCTTATATTAGAGCAAGTCTCTCAACGTGGGCCATGAGTTCTCCACTGGCATCCCCCTGTCCCCTCACCCCATAGAGAGCTGTAATTGCAGAAGTGGTGAATCTGCATTCATGAAGTGAATAACGAAGCAGTGCTCTCAGGATGGGTGGGTCAGGCTTCCTCTAGCTGCCACCATCTGGGAGAGTCTTTAAGTTGGAAAGCAGCAGAGCTGCCCTTTGAGCATCACAGAGAACGGCTGTTCCAGAGCCCCCTGCACCTTCACCGTGCCCTTGCTGCTTGTACCTGCTGCTGCCTGCCTACACAGTGGCTGAGTGAGGTCCTGTGAGAGCCAGGAAGAGAGACAGTGCTTAAGAGGACAGAGCACAGCCAGCTGGGTAGGGCCACGTCCATGCAGTTCAGCCTTACGCCACCCTGTGCAGTCAGTCATCAGAGAAGTTAAATGGTGATCCCTGGGTGGGGGGGGGTGTTTGTGAATGTGTAAAACACCGAAAAGTTAAAAGTACTGTCTACTCGGGACAGTATTACAGGTAAGCCTTGAGGTGCAGGAGTCTTCACTACTCCTGCTTGTGCCAAGTCAGCCTCTGCTGTGGGTAGACATCTGTTTCTTAAGGCAGAAACAGCCATTTTTCTCTCCTTGAGAGTCTGGAACATCCCCTCCTTAACCCACCCAAGGGACCACTGGCAGGCACTCTGCTCTGTGGTGGATACAGGGAGGCCTGAGGAGGCCAGTGTCCACACACAGTTCCAGGGTAGGGAGTGCCAGGACCAAGCACAGGGAGTCCAGCACACAACCCTCTCACCTGGCGAGTCACAAGGTCTCCTTGTGCTTTTATTTTCTAGCTGATTGGGAGGGGTTTGAGGGAAAGAAGGGAGAACCCCAAAGTGTTGTTTTTGCATTTCAGATCCACACAACTTAAAGATCTGCTGCCGAGTGAACGGGGAGGTGGTCCAGAGTAGCAACACCAACCAGATGGTGTTTAAGACAGAAGAGCTAATAGCCTGGGTCTCCCAGTAAGTGGGATGGAGCCCTGCCCCCCAACACCCACCTGGAGGCTAAACCAAGCGCTCCATGGCAGGCTATAGCCACCTCGACCCCTGGTCTCACCTGGCCCTTTTGCCCTAGGTTCGTCACTCTTTTCCCAGGGGACGTCATCCTGACCGGGACCCCCCCAGGTGTTGGTGTATTCAGAAAACCTCCTGTCTTTCTCAAGGTAGGTTGGCTAAACGAGGAAAGGAAGAAGGCCTGGCAGGGTGGGCTCAGACTTGAGAAATCCAGGCCTGTGTATGTGCCACACCAAAGGACTGACCGCCTCACGGCCCACTCTGTTGCAGAAGGGCGATGAAGTCCAGTGTGAGATCGAGGAACTAGGTGTCATCGTCAACAAGGTGGTGTGACGGCCTCTACCGCGGGCCGTGGACTTACGACAAGGTGGGGGCATCCGTTCCCACTGAGCCCAGCACAGGAAGAGGCCCAGTGCCAGCCCCTCTGAGTAGCTCCTCTTCCAGGTAGACGGGGAGGAGATGGTGCTCTCCTCCTCAATAAACTTCTTTTTGGCTTCCTTTAGGATTTGTTTCAAGGAGTGAGATAGGGCATTCTCACACACAGTGGGGAAGGAAAGAAATACCCACAGTCACACCAAAAAGAAAGACACTGCTGAGCTTGGGAAAAGAGGACTCATCCAGTCCTCTCGTTTATCACACCAGAGGATGCAGAAAGCAAGAGATGGCGAGGGGCAGTCAGACCTCAAAGATTTTATAGTCCAGCTGAGGGTTTGCAGCTCCTCCCAGGCCAGCCTTCTGGCTCCAGGGCACAGCTGTGCTCTGGGGCTGGGAGGTCACAACGCCGGCCCCTCCTCCTAGTTCTAGTTACAGATGAACTGCCGGATGAACCGTTCCAGCTTTTCCTGATTGTCCCGGCTGGCAAAGGTGGGGGACAGGTGGAGCATGGGGCCTGCAGGGCTGGGCACCTGCTGCAGCACCTGGGCCACAGAGAAGGGCTCTGAGCGCTTGCCACGGGCGCTGTGCCCCTCCCCTGGAAAACTGCAGTGAGACCTGTGGCCCTGTAAGCCTCGGTGTTTGAGGGCAAACGCTGCCTCTCAAAGCACCCCCAGGGCCCCACCCGGGAGCAGAATGACCCAGGGGTTTGGGAGACTGAGCGGGGCAGGAAAACTGTCCTACCTTCTCCAACAACTACTGTCACCACACCTACTCGTGGGAGACGCTGGGGAAATCCCAGGGTGGGTACAGCTGGGCTCCCCTGAGCAGCTCTTTCAGGGTAGGGGAGTGGGAGGCAGGGGGACAGAAGGGCGGAGAGACTGGCCCCTCTCACCCCCAGGTCTCTGAAGGTCCAGACGGCACTGATGGCGAGATTTGGGTCCACACACTCTGGAGGAAAGAAGTGAAGGCTACAGAAGGGAGCCCCGGGGCCCAGCTCCTCTCCTCTTGTCTTAGGACAGGACAGCCAAAGGATAGGGCTCAAGCTGGACCCAAAGGCCGCCTCTGTACCCCTCAGCCGGCTTTCCTGGAGTTGGGCTTTCACTGCCCACTAGGGGGAGGCAGCCACCAGCAAAACTTCCTCGCCTCCCAGGGCCTGGGCTGGCTGCTCGGGACTCACCGAAGAACCCTTCCTCCTGGGCGGTGGCCTCTAAGAACCGCAACAGCTGCTCCGCGTAGCCCGACTCTGTGGGAGAGAGAGGTCTGAGGCCTGGGGCCCCACGCAGGCAGGGCCCCCACCCTGAGCGCTCAGCCTCTCCTCAGGACGGCCGCAGTCGCGCGGGCCTCACCAGTATCTGGCAGCTGGCCCTGGTGGAGGAAGGTGGCAGCCTGCGCAAAAGCCTTGAGCAGCGGGCTGAGCAGGCGGCAGAGGAAGAGGAAGAAGTCAGGGCAGCGCGACTGCTGGCTGAGCTGGAGGGAGACAGGCCAGGGTGAGGGCAGCTCCCACTGCCTCCCTACGCCCCCCCCCCCCCGATGGCTTTTCCCAGCGCACCCTGAAGTACCGGCCCTCCGCCTCCTCGAAGTCGTCGCTGTCACTGTCGGTAAAGTCCCCACTTGGTTTCCACAGCAGTTTCGCACTCAAACGCCGCCGTCCGGTGTCGCAGGCTGGCCGGGAGCCTGGGGTCTGAGGGCCATGGGAGCCGTTGGTCCCTGTCAGGCTGGCCAAGGTTCAGCCCCGAGGCCCCCAGGCCGGCACATGGCCAGCCAGGGAGGTGAAACCAGCACACGCAGACCTGGGGAGCCCAGGAGGATACCCCAGGCCGCACCAGACCATCACAGCTGCGGAGCCAACTTGTGGGGTGAGAGGAAGTGAGCACCCACCCTCAAGGGCCACAGCCCCTGTGGACAAGAAATGTGGAGGGCGGGGCTTATGCAGAAACCCTCAGGTGCATTTGTCCAGTCCTGTCACTGTAGCTATACACGGGCCCAGGGCAGATGCGCTCTGACAAGTCCCATGGTGGAGAGTGGCGAGGCGGGGACCAGGCTTCTCTCTGCTAGGCCAGGGGCTGTACACACACACGCACGCACGCACGCACCCCCCACACACAAGCCAGAGGAGGAGCCCGGGCCGCTGTCACTCGGTGGGAGGCTGAAGGAGGCCAGACCCTGGGCAGGGGCTTTGTCTCCAGCTGCCCTTCCTACCTCCTCAGCAACTAGGAGCCCACACTGGATGAGGCGGTCCAGCACCTCCTGACAGTAGCAGTAGGAAGACTGGCAGGGCTGGGGAGAAAGAGGCACCCATGTGGCCTCAGGAGAGCCAGGCAGGGGCCTGGCCAGAGACAAAGACCAGACCTACTGCTGCAGCACATCTTAGGGTCAGGGCTCGGGCAAGCATGGGCCCTCTCCTACAGCCAAGAAGGGGAGGCCCAGGACTGAGCCGGGCTGGTGGGAGAGGCCTGACCTGCAGCAGCAGCAGGTCCTGCGGCAGCAAGTGCATCAGCAGCAGGATCTGGTGGTACAGCTGGTTCTGGCTCAGCAGCTCGATGCCCTGTAGCTCCCAGGGTCCCTCAGGCAGCACCCTGCCCACCAGCAGCCCCCACACAGCACAGGCTGGGGGAGGAGGGGCCGGACGTGAGGAAGGAAGCCAGTCCCCTCACCCCTACACACATCCCACCCCTCCCAGGCCCTAGGGACTCACCACCCACGGCCTCGCTCAGGAAGGCGGGCAGCATCTCGGAGCTCAGGCGTGCCAGGTGCGCGAGGCCTGGGCCTGGCCGCAGAACCACCAGCAAGTCCCCCTGCTGGACGCGCAGCAGGGCCACGTGCGGCCGCAGCAGGCTCAGCGTGTGCTGCACCAGGCACTGCAGCTGCCCTGAGAAGCCCACATCAAAGCCACGCAGCAGCGTCTCCTCTGTCAGCCAGGAGAACTCCCCCAGGAGCTGTGACAGGCACACGCCCTGGGTGGGCAGCAAGGGGCTCAGCAGCAGGGCCACGCCTCCTCCCCCAGGCCCCCACCCCGCCGTGCCCTACCTTCTGGTGCTTGAACAGCAGCAGCGTTGCCATGATGGCCGTGCTCATCACCGCCGAGCTCGCCACGCAGGCTAGGGCCAGGGGTGCAGGGATGCTGCTCAGGGGCAGAGGCCCGACAGCCCGGGCCCTCCGTCACCAGGCAAGCCTTCCCAGTCCAGCACACACCTCCCTGGCAGCAGCCACATACACACCCCCATACGACTCCACCCCTGGGAAGGGGAGAGCAGGCTCGGTCCTTGGGTGCCACCCTCCCCAGTGGAGAAGTGGCATTTACCAAATACATGTTGAGAGCCAGGCTGGGAGCTCAAGGACCGTCCCTGCCTCTTGCAGGTCTACTACCCACCAACCCACAGTCTCTGCCACAGAAGGGACACTTGAGAAGATGGTAATAACAGTGCTGTTAAGAGCCCCCTCTGTGCCAGGCACTGTGTTTCGTCCCTTACATGCATTGTTGAGTTCAGCTAATGTCACCTCAAGAGAGTGAAGTGACACGCCTGAGGCCGGGCTGGGCGGCCGCCTGTGTGCCCTCACTTAGCGGCTCCATCATGTCCTCCCTTACTGACCCCCTCCTCAGGGGCAGGGGAAGGTGTTCCACTCTTCTTCACATGTCCCAAGTGGGCCACGCAAGAGGGGGCAGGTGCAGAAACCCACCTGGAAAGGAGGGCCCTGACGACTGGCCAGCTCTGAGAACAGAGTTCAGGAGCCTCCCTCAAAGGCCAGACCGAGGTTCCCCTCACCATTCAGGACGTGACAGCTCAGCCTCCTGACCAACAGCTGGTCCTCTTCCTTGAGGGCCAGAAGGGGCCCGGTTACTGGGGTCCACTCCTGCACCTTCTCAGTGTCGGGGACGACGGTACTGGGATAGAGACACAGATCACAAGATGAAGGGACCAAACCTAAAAACAATCATGGGGGAGCCCAGAGCTTTCTCAAACGTGAGGGTGTTTCCCATCCCCGAAAGAGGTGGGAAACCCTAGTCCTTTCCAGGCCTGTGTGCCATAACCCACACTCAACTTACAGCCAAGGAGGGGTGCCTGGCATGGTTTGAGATGACCCAAGTTATTTGGTGGGGGAAGGCTGGAGCTGGTGATGTGTTTGTGGTTCTGGGAGGAGAGGGTGCCAGCTCACGAGCTAGGGCCTAAGAGCGGCCTGCCTTGCCCCTGAGACCCTCATCTTCCTCTGCCCTTACCACTGGCCCAGCACGATGGGCTGCAGCAGCTGCTCCAGGGTCTGCCTGCTGCCCCAGCAGCTTCTGGCGTTGACGGTGTATTCCTGTCCAGGACAAGGCTCTTAGGTGGTCTGCCCTGGCCCACCAGGAAACCTGCATACAGCCCATCTGAAGTAGGTAACACTACCCCTGAAGTGGCCTTGAGGGCCAGGCCGCCAGAAGCCCTAGGACAGACCCCAGGTGCTCCCAGCCTTGCCCAATGGGGTCCATACGTGCAGGGAGAAGGGCTGGGCCAGATGCACACGGACGCAGGCTCGGCGGCTGCAGCCCCAGCCTCGCAGGCTCCACAGAACAGCCAGAGCTCCGGTCCACAGCCCCAGTGGGGCCGAGGCCTGCAGGGAGAAAGGGGCTGGGGGAGCCGGCTTGCCTGGAGCACGCTTTCTGCTCAACTTCATCTTGGGCCCAAACTGCTATATGACCATGACCTCTCCAAGCTCATTTTCTCCCCTGTGAAACAGGAGAAATCCCTCCCTAGCAAGGTCTTTTGAGTATGAGATGAGAGGATGACTGTAACAGCCTTAGCAGGTGCCACAGGAGAATGACCGTGGGGCTGAAATTCCTTTGCACTCCCCGCTTAGCCAAGCCCTGAGGGGACTCGGCCACACACACAGTATTGTGCCTCCTCTCTGGAGATGGCGTCCACTTAGGTACCCAGGGCAGGGGGCTCTCACGTGGTATGTGTCACGGGGTGCATCTGGAACCAGGTCGTAGGTGATGGCCACTGGCACCAGCATAGCATCTGGGACGATGCCCACCTGGACCGCCTGCACCACCAGTCCCAGCCACGTCTGACCCAGGGCTGACAGCCGAGGCCCCTGAGCCCCAGGCGGCTCCTCCAGGAAGATGAGCAGGGGCTGCCCGCTGACCAGCAGCTGCTCCACAGCCTGGAAGTGGGTGGGGGGAGGCAGGTGTCAAAGCCAGAACAGCAACAGGCCCCCGTACCCTAGCCTGGCCCCATAAACAACCACTGGGCATAGCACTCACCGCATGGACTACAGCCCTTGCAAGGACCCCCTCAGAGCTGTCCAGGGAGAGGTTGGCCTCTGGGGGCAGGAAAAGTCCCCCAAGTTTCTTCAGCAGAGCTCTGTGGGGCACAGGGCAGATGAGGGAAGGCGCTCAGGAGATGGGACCAAGCAGGAGGCTATTGAGAGCCTTGGTCCACACAGGGCCAGCCTGGGTCCTGCCTGAACACTGAGGCCAGGCATAGTCCTAGAGCCCATAGCTGACCCTCCGTCTGAGCCCCACAAGCTGGGGTGGCACAAAGTTGAGAGCAGAGGGGCCAGGAAGAGGGCCTCCGGGGAGCTGCTGCCAGAATACCGCCTGACATCCCCACACACCCCTGTCCCGGCCTGGGGACCTCTCCCTTGTATGTCTAAAGGCACAAGACTTTTACCTGAGGATGGGGGAACAGGTGCGGGGATCCCAAGCCACACGGAGCACGCCCAGGCCCTGGGAGAGCAGCACAAAGGGCAGTAGGATCCCGTCCAGGAGTGACTTGTGGGTAGAGAGGAGGACGAGCGGCGAGCCCTGCTCCAGGGAGAGCCAAAGGGAAGTGCCAATCCACCCCCCACCCTGAAGATGCAGGGAGCCAAAACCTAGTGCCTACAGCCCCAGGGCAGCCCCAGAGGGAGGGAGGGAGGGAGGGAGGGTTCAGCTGAGCAGTTCTTCCTCTGAGCACATCTCCCAAAAGCAGAGGAGCTCTGTCAACAGCTTTTAAGGTAATGCATTGACGTAATGGTTGTTAAGACCATGATGAAAAGCCGTTAGAGGAAGCCTCGTGGGAGCAGGACCGTGAGACACAAAGAGAAGGTCATCAAAGAGCACTGGATTTTTCCCACCAGCTGATGGGGCTGGTCCCGACTCAGGGCTTGGCCTAGCCTCTGCTCCTCTGTCCCCGCCATCCCATCCCCGTCCCAATGGAGGGTGGGCCTTACTGCCTGGGCGGCCTTGTGGACCATCTTCATCTGGCCCTTGTGCAGCTGTACGTTCAGGAAGAGGCAGTTCAGGATCCGGAGCAGTGCCCAGCTGACCAGCCTGGAGAGCAGCGCCCAGTCTGAGGCATGGCAGGGCACGGCCCACGAGGCAGCCCACGGCAGCCCAGAGGGCCGGCCAGAACTCCTCTACAGTGGGCACTACTACTGTCCCCACTTTACAGAAGAGGAAAGTGAGGTTCAGAGAGGTCACAGAAGCTGCTGGATAAGAGAGAAAGCTAAGTGCGGGTGCTGGGACCAGCAGGGGGGCCTGACAGCAGAGCCTGCGCCGGCAAGGTGCTGCTGTCTCCCAAGACGACCTCATGGCGCAGCTGCCTCGTATCAGCCTCCGAGCAGCTCCCTGCCTCCTTTTACCCCAAAGGTGACCAGAGAACCAAGACTCTCTCCAGGCATAACCCGGCCTTGTCTCTGCAAACTGCTGGGAAAAGTAAACTAAAAAGGGAGGAGTTAGTGATACAAGAAGGAAAGGAGATAGCTGAAGGGGCAAAATCTCTGGGGAGGGGTTGTCCAGAGGCCCAATGTGAGGACTGGCTTTAAATGAGGACAGAAGCGTAGACACAGGCAGCATGGAGATGTGCGGGACACACAGCATGTCCTCGTCTGATGGCTTCTATTTCTCCATGAAGCATGAGGTGGTTGGTCAACAGTGGATAAGTTAGAGAAGGAGCAGTCTAGATTGGAGCCTTGGAGAGTGCAGTGTGCCCCTCTGAGAATCACACTTATAAAGAAACAGGTCCACCCAGTGTGTTTCTCTAGTGACATTTGGCTGCTTAGGTGCAGAGAAGGCAGGTAGCTGGGTTCAAACACAGCCGGGTTGGGCCCAGTGACTCCTTCACAAGAGCACTTCCTCACAAGGAGCCCTGGAATCGAAGCTAGGCCTGGAGGGCAGGAAAGACAGGAGGGGGGACTGATGGCTGGTGTAAAGGTGCTCAGGTCATGGGACTGGAAGTCTCGAAAAAGCCAAAGAATTGTCACAGGGAGGGCTGGTCGTAGGTCACCAACAACCTCTACTTCCTGTTCTTGCTCAGTTGACCTCTTAGCACTTTCAACACAGCCGAGCCTGACATGTGCAGCCCTGGGCCCTCCTTCCCTCAATGACTCAAGCATCCCCCCGCTTGAAGCATCACCTATGTGCTAAAGCTCTGCAAATACATGTTCCTGGCCCCAGTCTCTCTTCGGAGCTCCAGACTCACATACATAAGCAGCTGCCTCAGTGTCTCCACCAGCATGTCAGGCGTCAGAAACTCTTTATGTCCAAACACCTTTTGTGGGCCAAGCCTGCCCCCTCCCCTCCGACCACACCACCAGGTGCTCAGCCAGAAACCCAGCTCTCCTGCAGCTTCCCCTCCCCCTCACTGCTCCCACTGCAACCCTCCATCAGTGAGTCCTGATAATTTCATATTGGCCTCTCCGTCGTCTTCCTAAGTTCTACTGTCACGCCCATCCCCCATCATTACGTCTCACCTGGACTAACAGAACAGCCTCCCCAGATGATCTGTTCTCTGCTCTTGACCTCAATTAATCTTGTTGTCATTTTCTGCTTATAACCTTTCCATTGGTTTTCACTGCACTTGGAAGTCAAATCCAAACTTCTTGTATGGCCCTGCATATCTGTCCCTTCTACCTCTCAGTTTTGTCTCCAACAACTCTCTCCCTCACTTGCCAGCTTCCGACCACATCAGCTACTTGAGCAAACCTGGCCCTTTCCTGCAGCCACAGCTTATGCTCTTCCCTCTGGTAGAACTGTTCCCTCACATCCTCACCTCCCCAAGGCTGGCTCCTTTCCCCCTTTTGTCCCTGGCTTACAAGTCCCTTCCTCCCCTCCAGGTATTTTCATTCCTAGCCCTTGTTCTGTCCTTCTTGCAGGCGTGTGTATCTCTCCTCACTCTAACCTGTGCATCCCTCCATTTCCCCAGAAGAGTGTCCTGCATCTAAGAGGAGCTCAGACCTGTGCAGGACAGATCAGGAGGGAGCAGGTAGTGACAGCAGGATGAATATGGGAGGGAAGAGGAGGGCCTATAAGATGGAGGAACCAGCCACCTCCTGTCTCTCTCCACAAGAACCTGACCTGGGGAAAGGTGGAAGGATAGAGGAGGTACTGGAGTCTAGGTCTCAACCAGGGGTTCCTGGGGTGACCCCCAAGCCCCAACCCCCAGGACAGATACACACCACCAGGCCAGCAGTGGTGAGAACGTGGGCTGGAACCTGGGGGCTGGCTCAGATCAAGGCCCCTGCCCCTTATCCAACTGGTCCCACTGAGAAGGCAGCTGTCTTCAAAAGGTCTCACAGTGTCCAGCTCAGGGGCTTACTCAGACTGGTAAATATAACACCCAGCTTCCCAGGAGGGGAGTCTAGTCTTTACCCAAGCCCAGCCAATGCTCCCTCCCAAAGGGCAGAGGCCCCAGCCCAAAACACCCTTCAGTACAGAGTTACCTGAGCAGGAAGGGGCGGGGTGGGGCCTGGATGTGGCCCAAGATGTGCTGTACCTCTCTCTTCACGTGGCTGGGCACCTGGCCTTCCCCAGCCCCTCCTGGGGCCCTGCCTGGGATGACATTCTGAACCCTGTGGTGTGAGAGGCAGTGGTGTCAGGCTGGAGCAGGCCTAAGTTCACTTCCCTCAGCCCCACAGAAGCCCCAGGGCACAGCCTCTAGTCTTCACCCTCCATCTTTAAGGAAGGGCCCCAGACCAAGCTAACACTCTAGAAACCAGCCCTTTCAATCAGCCCTGCCTACAGCCTTTGTCATCCCTTCAAGGATCCCAGAAGTACCAGCCAGACCCCAGTCCCTGCCTCCTCACCCAGTGCTTTCCATGACCTTCTGTGGGGCATCCTGGCAGGGGGGTATGTGCTGCTCCAGTGACCACAAGAAATAGCAGAGCCTCCGAACCAGCCAGCCCCGAAACCTGGGCACAGCCCCCGAGCAGGGGGTAGATCTCTCAGCGGGCCCGCCCCTGACTAGGGCCCACAGAGGGCATTCCATCAGGAAGGGGTCACCCTAGCCCCACGGACTGGGAACACCTGAGCCTGGCTTATCATGGAGCAGGAAGAGGAGGCACCTGCCCACCTGTGGCCTATTCCTACCCCTCCCCCCAGTGAGCAGGGTGCAGGCCCAGGGCCTGAAAGCTCACAGAAGGAACTGCAGGAAAGCTCAAGGCCTGCCTGTCCCCACCTGTGGGTTTGGAGCAGAGGAAGGAAGAAAATGATACCACAAAGCAGGGCCCCAGCAGCCCTGCACCCAAGGGCCCTGCCCACCACCCTGCCCCACCCCCAGCTCTGACTACCTGGTGCTCTCCTCCTTCACCTGGATCACATTGCAGAAGCCTAGATCCATTATGCTTCTGTGGAAGAGGGACTCCTGCCCAAGAGGGGCAGGGACAGCGTGTCCTTGGGGGGGCCTTTGCAAACCCGCAAAGGAAAGCCCCTGCTCTGTCTTCTGTGGTCTTTGCCTGATGGACTATAGGGTTTACCAGGAGACAGGATTATAGCACAGCAGTTCCCAAAAGATGTTTGACCCCAGATCCTGAAGCTCACTTAGGAAAGAGGGTTCCATGGTCAAAATGGAAGGGCTGCATCCTCTGTAGAATCACCCTCTTGGAGAAGAGCGTATTGAAGTCTCTGAGAAGTTCTCTCATCCACAGCAGAGAACATGTAGCCTAAATCCCCACCAGAACCCTGGGTCCCATCAGCACCAGCACACGGCACCGACACACAGAGGTCTGCAAGCATGTGCTGAGTGCTCACTGACTCTGAGTGGGCAGTGTCCCCAAAACTGAACAGCAGGACTCATGCAGGCATAGTCAGACCCCAGCCCTCTGGCCGTGCTCTACACCTCCTCTCAGGCCCCTTTACACTTCCCCACCCAACTCTCCCAGGCCTGGGAGCCAGAAGCCAGCCCCAGACCAACAACCAGCCAACACTAGTGCGCCCATTCCGTGAAAGACAGCAGAGGCAGGTGCAGGGGAGGGCTGAGGTTGGGAGACATAAAGGAAGCTGCTGCCCAAGGCCGTGGGAGCCATGGCTCCCAGAACCAAGCTTCACAAGGTAGGGCCTGGCTCTACCATCACTCACCCAGCTCTTGGGGGTGCAGGTCTGGCAGCAGCGACCCACAAAGGGGCGGTATTTCCCCAAGAAAGGGGTGACAGCCTCCAGCTTCATCCCAAAACCTGAGGACCACAGGCTGGTCTGGAAAAGGGCCACAGGGAGAGATGAGAGGACTCAAAGTCCTTGGCAGAGGGAGGGAGGCTCCAGGAGTGAGAGGCACAGGACGGGAGGTGGGAGAGCAGAGGGTGTCCTGGGAATGGAAAGGCTACACTACCTCCCGACCATTCTGGCTGCTTCTCTGCTGGCTTTGGAGTCTGGCTTCCAACATGGTGTCCACGGGGTCTATAACATCTGGCAACCAGCCGCCTCTGCCTCTCTCTCTCTCCAGAGGAACCTGACCTGGGGAGAGGAAGAAGGATGGAGGAGGTACTGGAATCTGGGCCACAACCAGCGGCTCCTGGAGTGAGCTCCATCCCCCCACCCCAGGACAGACAGACAACACCCAGGCCGGCAGCGGTGAGAACCAGGGCTGGAATCTGGGGGCTGGCTCAGATCAAAGCTTTCCCCCCCAACACCCGACTGGTCCCACCAAAGAGCCAACTATCCTCAAAAGGTCTCAGAGTGTTCAGATCAGGGCTCCCTCAGGCTAACATGAAGGAGATGTTTTGTCTCACCATCCACACCCACCCTGCCATCTCACGGCACAGATGGGCCTGTACTAGAGACTCAGACCCTTTCTGTGCACAGGGAAGGAACAAGGCTGGACTGGCAGGAAGGAGGCGTGAGACTGCCAAAGAGGAACAGGACCATTGTCACGAGACCACCAGGTCCTGCTCAGATGGCCTTCCCCTCGGCACCAGAAGACAGCCCTTTATCCACTTAATCATTACAGCAATGGGCCTAGGGTACTAGATGGGGGACAGGTGGGGGGTCAGAACACAGAGAGATGCCACACGGACCTGTTTCCAAGGAATGGCCTTCTGGCTGGAGATGACAGACTTTTCCACAACTGGTGTCCTCTTACATAGCACTCTGCATAGAAGACCCCACTTGGTATCTCCTCAGCCTCCTCCTTCCTACCATAATATAACATCTATCTTCTATAAGACAGCACTGAACCCCTCCCAGCCCAGAAACTGGGCCCTAAAAACCCTTCTACCCGGATCTCTCACCACATCCCTGATGGGTAGGCTGATTCAGTTATTTATGTTATCCCTAACCCCACTACAGCGCACATACCTACCTTAGGAGTGCCTTCTCCCTTCCCTACCACTTCCCCAAATTCTGCCCACGGCTCTAAGTCCGTGATGCCTCTGCATCACCTTCTAGGTTTTTCCTCTCTTCCTTGGTTCCCCCAGACCAAGCTTGCCAGGCAAGAAGCCTCCTCCAGGGCTGAGACTTCATGTCCCCACATCATCTGAAAGTATCCTGAGGGCAAGAGCTGCAACTGACCATCTCTGTATGCCCAGCAGCTTGCCCTGCCCAGAGGAGGGACCCAGGAAATGCTAGATGACTGACTGTAACTCCCTCTCCCAGAGTTCCTCTGGGTCTCTCCTCCTCTCCCCAGTTAGCAGTTTAGAACCATGAGGCCAAAGCAGTACCAGGATGACAATTCCCCAGTGCACGGCTCTGGTAGCCTCCTTCCAAATGCACTTCCTCCTTTGAAAATGTTCTCACAGCTCCAGTCACAGACACTTGGCACAAGGAGTCCCCAAGCCCAAGCTGCAATCTGAGGAGTCCTGCCTGCTTTGCAAGGAGGATGTCTGCTCCCCAGCCTCAGAACACCCCTACTCTCAAACCTAACCCCACTAGATCCGTGCTAATCCTAAAAGACAAGGCAAGGGGTAACTCGTAGTCGCCAACCAAGTCAACTACTCAGCTCACATAATCCAGAGGTCAGTTCTGGGATAGATCTTTCTAGCACCCAAGCCCCCCCTCAAATGGGGATCTCTTTATCAGTCTGTAGCTCTTGCCTGGACGCCCCTCCCCGCAGGACATCTACAGCAGAGGCGGCAAACTGGCTGCCTGAGGGCCAAATGCAATTCACAGATGTATTTTCTTTGGCCCTGCAATATTCTAAAATGCGATAAATTAACCTCAACATTTAAAAATAAAAAATAAACCAAACCGGGTCTCCAGCGGCTGTTGTTAAAATACCCCTGCGACCTGACGTCTCTGGCATGCACCCCACAGGGCCTCCGCTGGCCGGAGCCCAGCGTCACTGTCCCCATGTTCCTTTGGCCCCGCAGCACTTGCCCTCCCATGTGCCGCCGCGTCAATCACACCTGATGCCCGGCCCCTGTGCGCATCTGAGCTTGACCAAAGAATCACATCCAGGGCTTCCCTGGTGGCGCAGTGGTTGAGAGTCCGCCTGCTGATGCAGGGGACACGGGTTCAAGCCCTGGTCCGGGAAGATACCACATGCCGCGGAGCAGCTGGGCCCGTGCCATGGCCGCTGAGCCTGCGCGTCCGGAGCCTGTGCTCCGCAGCGGGAAAGGCCACAGCAGGGAGGGGCCCGCGGCCCACAAAAAAAAAAAAAAAAAAGAATCACATCCAAACCCCTTCCCCTGTCTGGGACGTCTGTTCCCTACAAAGAACCATGGCTTGAACATGACCTCTTCGCCCCTCGGCCCGCACCCGGGGGGGAGGGGGAACTCAGAACTCGGGGCCCTCACAGACCTACGGCGAGAAGAGCTGCCCCGAACTGCCCCGAGACGGAAGAAAGGGCGTCTGCCACACGGGCCCTGGGTCCAGGGTGACGAGAGACCAAGGACCACGCACAGCAGGGCTCTCTGAGGGGCTGCCCCTCAGGCCACGGACCCCACAGTGGGGCTCACCTGCGCAGCGAGGCCTACAGGGCCGGCGCTCCCTCCAACCCTTGCCAAGCCCCAGAAAGGCCCTGCGAGTCGGCGCCCGAAGCGGGAAGGGCCCTGGGTGGCCCTGGGCCTTCTGCGAGACGGCCCAGTCCCGGAGCGAGCCCAGCAGGTCTCACCTCACACCAGCCGCCGACTCCCGCCAAAGCAGCCGCCGAAAAGTGCTAGCGGAAGGCCTCTGAGCGCTGTCTGAAAGGCAGCTCTGAGAGCCAATTGGGACGCGCGCTGGGCCCGAAGCCCCGCCCCTGGCGTGCTGCTGCGCCGCACGCTGCGTGGCCACGCGGCCTTTACTGTGGACAGGCGGGGCTGCCTGTGTGGGCGGGATTGGGGGGCAGCGTGACCGGCCTTGGCTCCTGAGTGAGTCCCAAGCTGTGTGCTGCTCGCCTTCCCATCTGGACCCCCACGCAGGTGCGTGGGGACCCCTGGAGTCGTCTGCGAGACCCAGGGTACCTGAAGGATAAGGACGCGTGGGCCGCCAGGTTCTAATGAAAGAGGTTCCCAGGGTACACGTGCTGCCAAGTTGGAGTGTAGGCTCTCGCAAAATCCCAAACTGGGGACACCTGGAAAAGAGATCACCAGAAGTCACTTTTGGTTCGTGAAAAACAAGTCAGGCCTCCTCTGTGTCATTTCCTTCGTTGATTAGAACCCTAGACCACAGTCAGGAACTTACTGCAGTCACGAGGTGCCCGAGTTTCAGCTGGCCCTGTGACCAGTGTGCTTATTCGTGTGGTTATTTGATTAATACCCTGTCTCCGCCCTAACTTCAGGTGAACGAGGACTGCATAGGTTCGTTCATCTTTTGATTGTTCCCAGGACACAGCAGGGGACCAGCAAGTAGTAGGCAAGGTGTACAGAATAAATGAAGGAGGGGATGATTGTGCTTTGTTCTTACACTGCCCTCCATGTAATGACAGCCGGAGAATCCCACAGTTTCAGAACACTGTGACACTGAGCAAAGTCACATCGGAGCCTGGCTGGGTTCACACCCCCACCTGCTCTCTGACTCGACAACCCTGATCTGACTGCCCTCACCCTTCCCCTCCAGGGTGTGGCCATTCCTCTACCTTCTTTGTGCGGTTTTGTGTCTATCTACGCAGGCTATATGTTTCTGTCCGTTCCCTTTAACCCAGGTTGCAATGTCCTTTTAGCATTTTCAGAATCCATTTTGTCCCCCATCTTACCCTTCTTTTGTATCAGCTTCAGAATCTGAAAAAAAAAAAAAAAAAACAAAACCAAAACACCCAAGACCACATTTAATTAGAAGTAAGTTGCCTCCTAAGAGTACAGACTTGCATTGACCTGAGGCCCCTTTGTTCTGGGAACGCCATCTGTGTAGGCAGTTGAGTTTCACAGCTGCCAGTAGGCCCCCACCATTCCTTCTTAGGGAAACTTAATGCTCAGAAGTAGCCCCAGATGGATGCTTCAGACTTGAAAGTTGCACGGATTGTGATGGCAGAGACCAGGTCTGTCATCTAGCAGAGTTTCTGTCCTCAGTCCTGTTGCTTCTTTGGAAGAAATGTGTTTTGTCTGTGTTGTTTGCTGCAGTTTGGACATTTAGAAAGAAGCACGTCTCTCAGACCTGCATCTTGGTTGGGATACTGAGAATTCAGTGTGCTCATCAAGCAGTGCGCAGAAAACATGGAGCTGTGGTGCAGCAAGACCAGCAGGCCGGCTGCCGTGCAGACTGACTAGCTGACCAGACCTCGGGGGAAACAGAGAAACTCACTGGGGCTTGGCCCTCCCTGAACTGGACCTCGGGAGCCCCACCCTGGGCTCAGTCCAGGCCGAATCACCCAGAATGTCCTGACACACGCAACTGGGTCCCTGGGCCCAGAGGCCCGCCCTGTGGTTGGGGGCCAGTGTTCCCTGAATTAGATGGGCTTTCCTTCTGTACGTCATCTGGAAAAGAGGACTTAGGCTGGCATTCATCTGGGCAGAGGGGCTCTGGCCCCTCTCTCTAGGGCTCAGCAGGGTGTGTCCTCCCTGTTGCCTGACTTGGCTGAATAGAGGGAGTTGGTGCTGAGGAATATTCCAGGCCCTCTCTTCCTTCCCCCTTGGAGATTTCCTCCCTAGCATTGATTTATCAAACAATCTAGTTCCTGCTAATTGCTGGATGGGCACAAATTGGGGGTGTAGACATTCCCCAAGTAGTCATCCCACACTCTTGGGAGGGGTGGCCCAATATATGACGATGTCAGTTCTCCCTCAATTAATCTAAACTTCACTGTAATCTAAATAACAATTCTAGCTATGTAAACTTACTCTGAAATCTGTGAGGAGAAATAAAGGTCTATAGATGCCTAAGTGAAATGGGGGTGGGCAGGAAACTCACTCCCATAGATATTCAGGTATACTACAATGACATCATTTTTAAAACAAACAAACAGGGCTTCCCTGGTGGCGCAGTGGTTGAGAGTCCGCCTGCCGATGCAGGGGACACGGGTTCAAGCCCTGGTCCGGGAAGATCCCACATGCCGTGGAGCAACTAAACCCATGCGCCACAGCTACTGAGCCCATGTGCCACGACTACTGAAGCCTGTGTGCCTAAAGCCTGTGCTCCGCAACAAGAGCAGCCACCACAATGAGAAGCCCGCGTCCACAACGAAGAGTAGCCCCCGCTCACCGCAGCTAGAGAAAGCCCAAAGCTTCGCAGCAGCGAAGGCCCAAAGAGGCCAAAAATAAATAAATATTTTAAAGAGGTATGTTATTTTAAGCCACTTAGTTTGTGGTAACTTGTTACACAGCAGCAGAGAACTAACACAATCTATAGACAGGTCAAACTTAGCTGGATAAAGTCAAGTGGTTGTGTTGGAAGGAGATGTGGGGATGTTGGTCAGGGTAGACTGGAGAGGCCACTGTGGAGGTATTTTAGTCAATAGTCCACCTCGCCTACAACCTGCAATTTCATTTCCAGGTGTAGATGCGAAAGAAATTGACGCAGACCCATAGGCATGCATCTCACGATGTTCACTGCAGAGTTCTGGCCATGGAGGGGTGGGGCAAGGGCTGTTGGAGGCAACCTAGGTGCCCACCTCGGGGAGAATGGAAAGAAAAGTGGGCATGATTCGCAGCGTGGAGAGTTATGTTGCAACTAGAAGAGATTAAATGCACACATAGCAACGTGGATGAGTAAACAATGCCGAGCTTAAAAAGTAAGAAACAACATGAGAACCCAAACATTACCATTTGAGTAAATTAAAAACCACTTAAAGACAGTAGCCGTTTTGCAAGACCGTATACAGTGTGGGGGAAAAAGATCCATCCGCATGTATCCTGTGCAGAGGGAGGGAATGAGCGAGAGATACAGAGCTAAAAGAGAATAAGTAAAACAAGAGAGGGGTTTTATGTGGACCAAAGATGAAAATATGCCAAGGAATTTAACTCAACTCGAGAGTATAATGAGCCGCACCTGAGGTCCAATGACAGGTGAGGCGGCAGCAATGTCCACTCCTTCAAGAGGGACGGTTCAGTTGGGCAGGCAGAGAAAGAAACAGCCAATGCTACCCAAGTGGGTAAGTGCTGTGAGAGCAGCATATGGAGAGCAATAAAGGAGGAATTAATCCTGCCTGATAGGGCGTCCTGCCTTTCTCTTCATAATGATTGACTTTTATATATATATATATATATATATATATATATATATTTATTTATTTATTTTATTTTGGCTGCACGGGGTCTTAGTTGTGGCACACAGGCTTCTTAGTTGTGCCATGCATGCGGGATCTAGTTCCCCGACCATGGATTGAACCTGCATTGGGAGAACCAAGTCTTACCCTGGTACTGGACCACCAGGAAGTCCCATAATGAATGACTTTTAATGTGAATGCCCGAAAGCCCAGCTCAAATTGTTTTTTGTTTTCTTTGAGCAAAGGGAATTTGTTGACTCAAGTCACTGAAAAGTCCAGAGGTAGCTTTCAGGCATAGATGCATTCAGGTGCTGCAATAATGTCATCAGGATGTCCCTTAAAGCTTTTCCAATCTGCTTCCCTCTGGGTTGGTGTCATTCTTAGGCTGAGCCCCTTGGGGGAGAAAGATGGTCCCCGGCAGTGCCAGCTGTATACTCTCCATCTGACAAACCTAGAGGTGTGGGCATCCCTCTCCCAGAGTTTCCCACAGAATCCCCAGGACTGACATTCTTTGGCCCAGAAAGAGTCACATATGCCCATGCCTGAACCAATCCCTATGACTCTGATGGCCACACCGGGTGGCACAACTGTCTGGGTCGGTAAGGGGATCATGGCATGGGGACTGGCACAGGCAAAAAGCCCAGCAACATGAAGCTAGACCAGCAGAAAGTGAAGTTCCCTGCTGCCTGGCAATTCCAGGGCAGCGGGCACCATCAGAGTCCTGGACGGGGGGGAGGTATATCAAATTTGCAGGCTTCACTTGGCAGCTGGTTGTGGGTGGCATGGGGGAGCAGTGACATTAGGGCCCTCTAGCATTTCCTCCAAGAAAGAAAGTGCCTCAAGAAATACCTCCCTCTAGGCCCTTCTTCCTGCCAAAGAGTCCCTTTCCTAGAGAGCAAAGAGGCTAGCATGCTGTGTTTCAACACAAATGGCTGGGGAAGGGCCCTCGTGGGGTCCTAGGTCATTGCAAGAGAGTCCACGTAGAAGCAAATCTATATAATCAGTTGCCAGAAAAGTACTTAACTGGCCTGTATTCTTCCTGTACCAGGCAAGCTGCGGGGACAGAATGGTCACACTCCCGCCACAAAAACCAATTCTGGGCCAGCCCCAGGGAATTCTGGGAATTCTCCAGCACTTAACCACCAACCTTTCTACCCCACCCCGCCCAGGAGCAGCTGGAAGGTGGCTGCTGGCATTGTCTGCAGAGTCACTGGGGGCCAGGCTGGGCTGGGCAGGGCCATGGTGGGGTTCTGAAGGTCAGGAATGACCTTCTTTTATGCAGCCCCCGTAACACCTCTCCCCAAACCACTCCTGCCCACTGCCTGGGGTTTTCAATGCAGTCCTCCACCTCTTTCTGGCTGTGGTGGGCAGCGTGGTTATGTACTGCACAGCTAGACGCACGAGGCTGAGCTCCAGCTGTGTGGGCAAAGAACGGGTAGCGACTGCCTCTGGAGCAGGACATGGAGCAGAGGCAAACGGGTGGATTAGTTAGAATGCTTTCAGCCTCAAGGAACAGAAGGCCCACCTAGAAGGGGCTTAAACAATAAGGGAGATGGGCCTCCTGTGCAAAGAAGCCCCAAGGTAGGACAGCCTGACACTGCTTAGCTCAGCGCTGCAGTGGCATCAACAGAGACCCAAGCCTCTTGCACCTTTCATGCTGCCCGCCTCAATGGGCCAGCTCTGTTCTCACATCAGCTTCCCTCCTTATCACAAGAGGGCTGCCACAGTTCTAGCCATCACATCCAGCAGGGGATAGCACCCAGGAGAGGACACCTCTTCCTGGATATGTCTTTTTAAGAGTAAGGGAACTTTCCCCAGAATCCCCGTAAGCAGTTTTTCTGTCATAGCTCACTGACCAGAATGGCATCACACACCCATTCTTGGTCAGTCTCCAGCAGAGGGCACAGGAAAACCATGACGACTTACAGGGACTCCCCCAATAGCACAGAGCTCTAATACTCTAGCAGCAACTGCTGCACCAGAACACAGAGGTTCTTCCCACTCAGAGACCGGTGGAGAGGAGACTGGAGTTCTAGTCCTGTTTTCTCCACCAGTCATTGTCTGACCCTGGACAAGTCAGGTCCCCCATCGGTCCCCCACCCGCAGGCATTCTCTCCTCACGCCTTGCCGACACAACTCTGATTTGGTTTTGTGGCGATGTGCCCAGCCGGGGAACGGATCATGACTGGAAATGGTTGTGGAGCACTTCTGCCCTTTGTTAACTACTTGCCTGGGCAGCCTCCACTGCAACTAGGGGTAGCCATGTGACCTACTACCAGGCAAGGAGAAAGAAGGAGGACTCTGCTGGGATCCTTCTGGGAGATGGTCTTCTATAAAGAAAGCCTCCTCCTCTTTTCTCTCCTCTCTCCTCCCTTCTTTCCAGTTTTGTTTGCCATTAAATGAGAATGTGATGTTTGGAGCTTTGGCAGCCATCTTGCGACAATGAGGGAGATATCAAGAAAATCTCAGACTTGCCAACCTCATGCTTTGGCTTTTTGGGGGCTGTGGAACAGTCCTGCGACCACATAGATTTGTTATGTGAGTAAAATAAACTCCTGTTTAATTAAGCTCCCATTACTTGAGTCTTCTTTACTTGCAGCCAAACATACCCTAACTGACATAGAGCTCAGTTTCTTCATCAGTAATGTGAAAAGAATGGTTCTGATTGTGGCCACCCTCCTGTGGGCTCTCATGCTCTGTGACGAGGGAATCCTCCTAGAATTCACCCACCAGGCCACTGAGGAAAACTAGGTTCCTGCTGACTTTCTGTCTGTCCCTGCAAACTTGAGAGGACAAATGGTGAGATTAGAGATTCCCTGAGCTATTTCCTTTCCTACCAGTAAATTCTGCCCATGACCAAAACTCCCAGAGGACACGGGACAGGATCAGTTAGAATTGCGTATAACAAAAACACAGAAACCTGACAGCAGTGTCTTAAACAAATAGGGTTTGGGGTTTTTTCCCTGAAGCAACAAGAAGTCTAGAGGGTCAGGAGGCCACGGCTAGTCAAGTTGTTAGGGTTGGAGTGAGGTCATCAGCGACCAGGGTCCCTTCAGCTCTGCCATCCTCAGCAGGTACCTCATCCTCATGGTCACAAGGTGGTTGATGCCTCAGAGAAGAATAAGTGGCAGGTGAAGGGCAAAGTTGAAGAGCCATTAGAGCTGCCAGGAAAGCAGTAGCCATCTTGGAAACCCCACTCAGAGGACATCTGTCATCAGTCATCCTGGGTTGTATAGCCATCCTCAGCTTTAAGGGAAAGGAAGGGGAGGGTGGCTTTTGGATAGACAACTAGTCACATGAGCCAGAAGACCTGGGACTCAGCCCAGCACTGCTTCCTGCTGCCCTCTGTGAGCCTGGTGCTCAGTTAATGCTTTGAGCCTCAGCAGTCTCATCTGTCTGACACAAAGGAAGGAGCCACATTTCAAGTGCCCAAAGCCACATGTGGCCAGTGGCCACTGTGTTGGACAGCGCAGGCCTGGTGGCCGTACCTCTGGCTGTTAGGGTGGCAGCTGCTGGCATTAGCCAGAACAGGGATTCATTTGTGGGAGAGACGAGGGGAACTGCCAATCCCTGCTGATCTGTGGCTGTAAGACAGCTGAGAGTCAAATGCTTTCCTGATCAAGATGCTCCATGGACATGAGGTCACCTTGACTGTATTTGTGCATCTCAGAGTCCAGACCTGTGGGCTCAGTCATGGTGGGCAGGAAGGCCCCAGAGAAGAGGCATTGTGGCTGCTTGTTGGGGGATATGGCAGCTTCCTGGGTTGAGAGGGGAAGAGCCCCAACGGAACATGCTCAGACTAAGAAGGAGATTTTTAAAGCCTGTGCCTGGAACATTCTGCCTCTAAAGAATCAGGTGAGCTCAGAGCAGGGAGCCAACTACAGAGAGAGGGCGAGAAGGCTTCATATTTGGAAAGTGCACAGAAACAGTTGCTCAGGCTTTGGACGCAGAGCATCAGAAACTCCAGGAGGAATGAGATCAGCTGAAAAAAAAAGGGTTTGATCTCGTAGACCAAACTGGAACAGTGGCGAATAGGCCAAAAACGGAGTGGAGAACAGTCAGCCGCTTCCTGACTGTTCCTGTAACCTGGCTCCTTTTCTATGGAGGAAAGTGGGACCAGCTCAGGAACAGGCTGAAGGGGATGACGGACAGGAGAGGCAGGGAAGCTGGGGATGCTGTAGGAGAGGGGGCAGAGGGAAAGCCTGTGCTGCTGGCACTTCCCTAGGGTCACACATGGCTTGAGGCCTTTAAGAACCAAGGGAGGCCCGTCTGGGTCCCAGAAGCTCAGGGAGAAGCACTTACTCGTCCAGCCAGCCCTCCCCAGGCATGGACAAGGGCAGCAGCCATCAGCCTCTCTCCCCACAATGCAGAAAAAAGAGAGCTGGAAAAGGCAGACAGGGAGGGACCTGGCCTGGTTTCCCCTGGGAGGGTCAGCCCAGGCCTCCAGCATCCCATGGACCTTGCCCATCCCCATGTGGGCTCAACCTTTAAACTCTTTGCTCAGCACTATAAAAGTTCCAACCATTAGCAGTGGCCAAGCAAATGCCCCTGGCCTTTGACCTTGGCACATGGCAACATTCCTCTTTTTTGGAGGAGGCGTGCAACCCAGGAACTGAGATCTTTCAGCCAACTTATATATCATCTCACTTAACTTCCCAATAATCGTTCAAGGTGAGTATCATTCTTACTCACTTTATAGATGAGGCAACAGAGGCTTGGGGAGGTGAGGGTCACCCTGTGGAAGAGCCAGGATAGGCTTGGTTATGCTGCTGTAACAAATAGCTCTGAAATCTCATAACTTAAAACAGTATTTCTCACTCCCACTATATGTCTCCTCGAGGCTGGGAGGGGGATCTGCTCCACGCAGGCCACTCAGGGATTCAGGATGATGAAGCCTCCACTCTCTGGAGCAGTGCCCTTCTCAAACTCCCTATCGGGGGAAGATACAGCCGGAGGGTCCACACGCTGGCTCCTCTATGCTTTGGTGTGACCCTGCCTAACTGGAAAGGAGCTGACGAGTCTGGGAGAGTCTGGGATGTCTGATGAGCTACACCTGGTTAGGAAGTGGAAGCAAGATGAACTCAGGTGTGGCTAATGTCAGTCTCTGCTCTCATCCCTGCATTATGCAGCCTCAGATGACTGCGAAAGCTTGCTGTGAGCTGCATGGCGATATGCAAATTCAAGGGGCGTCAACACCATGACCCCCAGGCATTCTCATCAACTCCCTCCTTAGCCCATCTCCAGGCAGAGACAGCTCTGCAAACCACCGGCCCTTGCAGGCCAGGGGGACAGTTCAATGACACCACCATCACCACCCCAACTCCCGGCCTGCCCTCCCACCCTCCAGCCTGTACACTACATCCCTGCTGAGTCCCACGACCCTCAGCTGCCCTCAGGTTCCTGAGCCTGAAGTTGCCTTTTCATTCCTGTGGAATCTGGAGCCCCAGTCCCACCCCTAGTTCCCCATGCCCAGGCACCTGCCCCAGCCCTCACTGGCAGCAGCCTTGCTAACAGCCTTGCTAATCTGTTCATTATCTACTGCTAGCAGAGGTGCCTGGTAATTGATAACTCAGCCCCCACCTTTAATTGCTTGCCTGTCTTGGGGCTGTCTCGGTTTCGTCTGGGCTTCCTCCTGGTTCTCTCCATGCCCCCTGGGCCCTTGGTGTTCAGCCTCTGGGCTCCTGACTTCTTCCTGGTCAATATTGGTGTTTGTTTCCACCTTCTGCAGAGCTGGGTTTTGTTGCTTCTCAGGCCCCGGATGCAGGAGTTGCAGCTGCAGCCAGCAGGAGACGCTGCACCCCTGCCTGATCTACCGTGGGAGGCTGGGAGGCGGTTAAAGCGATTTGCCCCGGAATGAATGGAAAGTACTGGGCCAGTGGGAGGACTCAGAGGGGGAGCAGATTTCATTTTAAACAAAAGGCCAAGCTCCTCTGGTGCAGAGCTGGCCGGAGGAGCTGCTGCCTCGAGGGCTGTTGGGAGCCTTGAAAGGGGCGGAACCAGGTGCCTGGAAGGTTCTGCCCAGACTCTCTCCCCACTCTCCCCACCCCCAGGGTTTTCTGACCTGATTCCCTTGAGTCTGGGCCCTGACCTCATTCACCACTTCTCTCCCTGGCATATCACCAGATGGGCCAGGTACAGATAGAATTTGGAAGTGTCAACAACCTGATGAGTGAAAAAAACAAATTTCAGAAAAATGGGCGTAATGGCCCATTTTTCTAATAAAACTCTTTGAATGTGGTGTGCCTTTATTTGTAAATCTATAGTTTTTAAAAGCTTGGTAAAATGCCCACCAAATTGATGAGTACTTAATTTTGGAGAGTGGGATTGGGAGAGCGAGAAGGGAAGACTAGCATTTTATCTTTACTGTTTGAACTATTTTACTAAGAAAGGGAGCAAGTGAACATTTGCCCTCAGTGGCTCTATAACCTTGGACAATCCACTTAACCACTCGGAACCTCAGCTTCCTCATCTGGAAAATGGAGGCTTGTCCTGAATCCCCTTTCGCTCAGTATTAGGACTCTTGGTTGAGATCAACCTAAATCAACCCAAGCTTGTATAATAAAGGGGGAAGTGTTTCATAAAAGGACCCAGGGGACTTTTACACATCCGCATCTTAGGCAGGAAATGGAATGCTGGGGATGTGTCTCCACCTCTCCTCGATGTGTGCCTTTTCTCTCTTTAAAAAATTATTTCTCAGCTCCCACATTCCCCTGGTGGAAAATATAGCAGCAAGGTTTATGAGTCCAGCCCACTAGAAAGGCCTAGGTCCTAACTCTAAAGTCCTGGGCAAGGTTCTTATTGACTAGCTTGGTGATTGTATCAGTCCCAATAGGCTGGGCTATGCTATAGCAACAAACAGCCCCTAAATCTCAATGACTCAAACAGTAAATTGATTTCTTGCACATGCAACATGTCCACTGTGGGTCAGCAGGAAGGCTCTGTACATCATAGTCACTCGTGACCCAATCTGATGGAGGCTTCATCTCAACAGGTGCGTCCAGGACCTCAGAGACAAGGAAAGAGACAAGAAGGACCACTTAATGCTTCTGCCTGGAAGAGCCCGCACACTGGGAATTCTATGCTTTGGTGTGACCCTGCCTAATTAGAAAGGAGCTGACGAATCTGGGAGAGTCTGGGATGTCTGATGAGCCACACCCAGTTAGGAAGTGGGAGCAAGATGCACTCAGGAGTGGCTAATGTCAGTCTTTGCTCTCACCACCGTATTATGCAGCCCCAAACGACTGTGAAAGCTTGCTGTGAGCTGCATGGCGATATGCAAATTCAAGGGGTGTCAACACCGTGGCCCCCAGACATTCTCATCAACTCCCTCCTTCCTGCCTGGAAGTTATACCCACATCACTTTCTATTGGGTACAATTTGATTTATTGGTCAAAGCAAGTTGGGTGGCCAGGCTGAATTGAAGTGGATAGAAAAGTCATCTCCTCCGATGGGCCTGGGATAAAAGAGACCTGAACGTTTGTGATCAGCTCCAGTGGCTACCATAATGACCTGTCACCAAGAGCCCCTGCCCACTCTCCTTTCACCTGACTGTCACCACAGGAATTCCCATTATGTAAATGAAATGTTGCCAGGAAAGAAGCAAGAGATTCCTGAGTAGGGTTTAGTCTCTAGCTATTGTTAGCTGGTTTCTTTTCCATGGTGGGAAAAACTCATCATGGCAGAGAGCTAGAAGCCCAACAGATTCTGAGACTCCCTCTGAATCCCAGAGAGTTGCCAAGTCCACCCCCTGGGACTTGGGGTCCCAGTAGGACAGCCTTCTCCCCAGTCTAACCTTTCTTCTCCAGCAGGAAAGACACACTACTGAGGGTGGAGGTTAGGGTCGGGGTGGCGGGGAACCTTTGGCAAATCCTGCCTGAGGATTCAGAACATAAACTGCAACTACTGTTTACTTCAGTGGACCCAACCCTGGCTTCATCTTCAGAAACAGCATCTCCATGTGCTCATTTAGGAGGAGGTGCCAGGCAGATGGGAACTTGAGGACCCAGAGGCCTGGGTTCAAGCCCTAGCTCTCCCACTAACTGGCTCTGTGACCTGGGCAAGTCAGTTAACCCCTCGGAGCCTGTATCCTCGTCTGTAAACTGGGTTAATTACAATGCCCACCCACCTGATGGTCCTTCTGGAGGACCTCCTTGTGAGGACTGGCTGTTATGATGGGTGTCACGGCTGTTCGTGAGGAGTGACACCTGGGCAGACATAAAAGTCATCTTGGTTCTTGTGGCCCTTCCTGGGATCCTGCCCCTAAAACCCACCCTATCTCATGCCTCCCCGCCCAGACATGAAGCAGTCATGCTGCCAGCTCTGGAGACGAGCTCATCTCTGAGATTTTAGACAGAATAATTTCTTCTCCCTCTCACGCCTGCCTGTCCTGGAAAATCACACAGCCCTCACAGCCCCGCCGTGGGCACCCACACGCTCCCACAACCATTGTTCCCCTCATCAGCCAGCAAAAAGCTCCCATTCTCTGAGAAGCAGGGTGAGGTGTGGGAAACGGAGGGGGAAGCTGAAGAAAGCGGGGCTGATGGCCCTAACCCCAGAGGGGCCCCTAGCTCCCGGCCAAAGGTGCCACCGAGAGGCAGGGACCAGCTTCCTCCCGGATTCCCACCCCACCTGGGTTGCAGCCACGTGGCCAGCTCTGTTGCCGGGTCAGCCGCCCGCCAGGCTCACCCTGCTGAGGCCTTGACCCAACCCGCCCAAGGCAGGAGTGAGTGTCTGCACCCTGGCGTTTGTTACAGCTGAGGACTGAGAGGGCAGGGGGCCCGGATCGCACAGCCAGTTAGGGGCAGAGACAGGATGAGAGCTCCCAAGTCCTGTGCTCGTTCTGCACTGCTTCCCAGAACTTGCCCCTGGAGACCTGGAAGCCAGAAGGACCAGGGGAGGAGGTACAGGGACAGCCTGCTCACCGCTCTAGAGGGGAGAGCCTGGGGACTCGGGGCCTCACTGCTGCCCATCGCTGCTTGGGCTGGGGCTCGGCCAGCTCTCAGAAACAGCGGGCCCCTCCTGCACCGCACTGCTGTTCCCAATACACGACGCCATCAGTGGAGTGAAACCTCAGAGGTACCCATTAAATGCCAGCCAGGCCGACACCCCAAATGGAATGAGCCTCCCCGGCACAGGGAAGGTGTGCCTGAGACGGGGTGCACCCTGCCCTCCTCTCGGCTCTGGGGCAGGGCCCAGAGGGGCTGATGTGGGCTCCGGGTGCTGATGACGGGTTAAGGGGGCTCGGGGAGCTGAGGAAGTGAGGGGTGACTGGAGGCACGGGACCGGGAGGAAGGCAGACAGAGCACGTTGGGGGAGACGGGATCTCAGACCCAGTTTTTACAATGATGCAGACTTTTTTTTTTTTTTTTTTTTTTTGCGGTACGAGGGCCTCTCACTGCTGTGGCCTCTCCTGTTGCGGAGCACAAGGCTCCGGACACGCAGGCTCAGCGGCCATGGCTCACTGGCCCAGCCGCTCCGCGGCATGTGGGATCTTCTCGGACCGGGGCACGAACCCGTGTCCCCTGCATCGGCAGGCGGACTCTCAACCACTGCGCCACCAGGGAAGCCGAATGCAGACTTTTAATTCAAAACCAGCTTCCATATCTTCTGTTTCTCCACCCGAGGGCCTTGAGGAGGGAAGTCAGGAATAGCTGAGGCACCAGAGCCCCCCTCTCTTCTCCCTGTGTCCCTCCAGGTGAGGACTGTTCCCCCCGCCAAGGGCTCCAGGTAAGGGCTCCAGGAGGTAAGGGCTCCAGGAGAGGAGAGAGCTGATCCGAGAGAAAGAAGGGGGTCCGGGAGAGGCAGTGCCTTCCTGGGCCCTCAAACAGGGCTCCTGGCCCCAGAATCTGGGGGACACGCCTCATCTGCACTGTCCCCACAGCTACCTCCCCCTGACCCCTCCACTCACCCCCCCTGCCAGCACCCCCTGCCACTGCGCCTGGCCCCCAGCTCGTCAGGAGCCAGAGGGAGCACCCCTGCACGCCGGGGTCACTTCTGGCGCCAAAGGAAAGGAACATTTGTGGGTGTCACTCAGAGACAAACCTTGGGGACAACAGAGCTGGTCTGGGGGCTGAGAATTAGCCAGTCCCACCGTATCCAGGGCCATAAATATGCCATGTTCTTTGACCCAGTAATCCCACTGTTTGGAATTCCTCCCAAAGACATAATTGCAAAAGGAAAAATAGCTGTATGTGCACAGCTGTTTATAGCAACATTATTTATGATAGTACAAAAGTGGACTTGGCCAAAATGCTCTGTAAGTGGCGGAGGGCGGGGGGAACAGAATGATGTGTCAATAAGGCAGGATATTTATCACGCAGCCCAGAAAAACAGCAAACTTGGAAAATTCTTCGTGAAATAATGTTAAGGGAAAAGAGAACACACTTTTACATATTCATTCTGTCGGCAGACGGTGGCTGAGCACACTGTCTGGGCAACCGCTCTAGGCACTAGAGACACCACGGCACATGGACCAGGCGCCGCCCCCCCGCCATCTCCTGGAGGGGCCATTCCAGCACTGAGCCGCATGGTAAACAAGAAATCACAGCATCGTGAGGTGATGTCCCCCGTAAGACAGGAGATGGACAGACAAGTGTCTTCACCCCAGTCCTCTGCTATCCACTGTGGGGTCCATTCCATCTGGCTGGTGGGTCAGCAGAGGGCCATGGACCCCCTAGGGGAAAAGCCTTTCATCATGCAGAAGCTGAGCCCAGGAGCAAAGAAGCCAGGGCCGCCGTGAAGGCACCAGTCCGAGGGCACCAGGCCAAGGACTGTGGGCACAGCCAGACCAAAGAGTCTTCTCCCCACGG